AATCAGTACAAATAAATATACATAAATAAAATCATGTACACATACTATTCAAATGTGAATGCAAAATATATAAAAATTGACCTTGATTCATGACATTTACTATGTGTGAGGCACCTTCAGAGTACAAGCCTGCACTCTGAACCATTATGTTAGGCCACAAGAAATTGTTAATAAATTATCCAAAACAGGACTCATATTGAGCATGATGTCTGGCCACAGTGCAATAAAATTAGGAGTTAGGATCAAAAAGAAATAAAAATTATCAATCCACTTGAAAAATTTAAAATGCCCAATAAATAATTCTTGGGTTAAAAAGAAAATAAAAATTCAAATAAACTGTTTCGAAATGAAGCATAATGAGAGCATTACACATTAAAAACACCAAGATTTGGCCAAAATGGTTGCTAAGAGAATAATGACCTTAAATTTATTTATTAGGAAACAAGAAAGATGAAAACTGAGTGAATCAAGTATTCAACTAAAGTAACTGGAAAAGGAATAAAAAAAGTAAACAAAATGTAAGTAGGAGGAAGAAGTGAATAAAGATAAAAGCAGAAATTAATAAAGTAGAGCACAAACCACCAGATTTAAGGATAGCAGCCTTGATCAATAAGACTAAAACATTAAAATAAACAAAATAGCACTGCCGATATAGAGTAGATTTTTAAAGAAAATCCATTTTCCAGGAAAATATGTATAAGTTATCAAGAGATTCCAAGAGACATAGAAATTCTGATTAGCTCAATAATCATAAAAGAAAATGAAAATCTGTTCAGAGATCCTCCCTGGTATAAGCACCAACCACAGACACGTCAACAAGACTTCCAAAGCCGCTCCTATCTTGTCAGTCCCACTGCTCTTGAATACAGATTGAACATTTCTAGACTCCTTCTACGAAACTAACATGCGACTAAAATTAGACCAGTGCTACAGAAAAAAACAGATCTATCTCACAAATAGAATGAAAAGTGCTAAAATAATAAAACTGTGTAACCTAAGCAGTGTATACGTAATGATGAAGTAGGATTCAAAACAGGGATAGTTTAAGCTTAGGAAATCGAAAACGTAATTGCCACTTAAACCAGCAAACATCAAAACGTAAAAAAGAGGTTCATGTTTTCTACCTTCTGTATTTTGTTTTTGTTTAGCCTTTAGAAATCTGTTTAGTTGCTTTGAATTCAGACTTGAAGTTTTCCAAGAAACTTTGTTATGATTTACAGTCATTTTTCTGTAAGCATGGTAATTTATTACAAGGCTGTTAGAATATTATTATTAATTAATATTAACATAAAAGGAGATGCTCAAAACCCAACCACACAAAGAAAAGCACAATGAACATTCTTTCATGTTTCATGTTTTTCTATACCTAATTTGTTCATAACTATGATCATATTTTATAAACAATTTTTTAGATTATGTAATTTTTTTACTAACCATTATACACATGTTTCACCGTGGTACAAATGGTTCATAAACATCATTTTAAATAAAGTAAACTTTATGGGATTAGGATCCTCATCTCCCATGTTCACAGCTGGATCCCCAGGGACAAGCATGATACCTGGCATGTTAAGAGACAATAAATAAATATTTGTAGAGAATTAATCGCATATTGTCCCTTAATTTACTTAGCCCTTTACCAATTGTTGACCATTTAGTTAATTTTACTTTTTTCTATTATTAATAATTTTCACTTGAACAAATGTAAATAGTTTCCTTCTCAATTTTGATTATATTCCTTGGTATAAATGCTCAGAAGTATAAATGTTTATGGTATGAGGCAAACATTTTTAAGTCTCTTGATGTAAGAATAAAATATTGAAAACATTTAATTTGGCACCAATAAAGTTTTTTTCCCTCAGTTTTACTTCATGATAAACATTGTGATTTTTTGGGTTAATATTGTGGATTATCGTATTATCAGATTCTTTAAGTTATTGCCAATTTTAAAATAAATTATAAAGCTACTTTAGGGGCTGGCCCTGTGGCCAAGTGGTTAAGTTCACGTGCTCCGCTTCAGTGGCCCAGGGTTTCACCGGTTCGGATCCTGGGCGCAGACATGGCACCGCTCATCAGGCCATGCTGAGGTGGCGTCCCACATGCCACAACCAGAGGCACTCACAGCTCGAATGTACAGCTGCTGGGGGGCTTTGGGGAGAAGAAGAAGAAGAAAAAGAAAAGATTGGCAACAGCAGTTAGCTCAGGTGCCAATCTTAAAAAAAAAAGCTACTTTAAGAAAGTTTCTAATTTACCAAACTTCTTTTACTCTTCCATGACAGTAATCAAACTTTGGTTCTAGTAGCTGACATTGATAAATGGTACTTTATTCTTGTATAAAGGAGATAATTTTCAAACATCATAACATTAACTCTCAAAGTTATTTATTTGCTTCCTTGACACATTCTGAGTGAAATGTAGGGATGTGATAAGGCTAACTGGGAATGTAATTAATATCAATTTTAATATTTGAAAGATAATAAATGAAAGAAATGGAAATAACTGTAAAATATTATAGAAGTAAATGAAAATTAATTTGGTTTTTACCAACCTTAAATTATATTTTTTCTGTATGCTGGTGAATGCATAACTATGTAATTTATATAAAGTTAGGGTATTATTTTTCATTTATGTGAGCTAGAATCTTTGCGCTGTTGGGGAAAGGAGGTTTGAAACATGAGGCCAAAATAAGTAATCATTTAAATCTGTAAACCAATCAGTACCATGAAAAATAAAATCAAACCAGCCAATGGATCTGTAGAGGAATTTTCTTTTTGCATTTGAAGATGATATTTATGAACTATCATTAGTCTATCAGACACTGGGATTGTTTTCATAGTATTAGTGATAGATTTGTGGTCTTGCTCATTCATAAAACATCTGGCTAGAGTTAGGGATTCAGTCTGTGGCCACAGAACAGAGGGAATCCAGGAGCCCTCAGAACTATTAAATCCAGCATTTTGCTGGCAATTAGTGCTGTGCTCTAGCCAACTTACAATACCTAAAAAGAATGAATGACTGACTTTGACATTTTTCAGACAGAAGCTTTGGTGTAACATAGAGTAGAGCTCTAGGTCTTGGTGGATATATTCCTTTGAAGTTTCTATGTTGATGTGTTTGCTAGAGGATGACAGAATCAATGACTTGATTCTAGCTCTAAAATATTCTTGCTCTTGCTAAGACATTAGGTGGCATGAGTTCTCTGAAAAGATAGCACGGTGAAAAAAATTTATATTTGAATATGTAAATTTAGGTATATAATTTAAAATATATGTTTGTTTAAATGTATAGAGCATGAGTACCACGAGCCATAGCGCAAGCCCAAACAAGTTTCAAAGACCCATTTCCAAACCCTGGTGATCTAAGTGAGGGCTGCTCTGCTCTGGCTGAGCCAGGGCCTGGCCAAGGCGGGGCTGGGAGTCCCACAGAGTAATGAATCTCCTCTCTGAGATGTTGACTCCGAAGCTCTCCTAGGCAAGATGGCATCTACTCAGACTTTGTAGTTTGCAAGGCGGGAAACCTTTTGGATCATTGGGAGCAGAGAGACTGCCAGTGCTGATCCAGTCAAAGAGAATGGCCTGGCAGTCTTGTTGGGATACACAGCATTGAGCAATCTGATTGGTTTGAGTTGTTTACAGTATGACTTAGTAAAACGCTCCATACTGGGGAAATGGGTTACAACAAATCTCTTAAAACAGTTTTTGATAATTTTAGGGTGATAATTTCAGCATTGGATTTACTTCTATTTGTCTTTTATGAGATCTTTGAAGCATATAAAAAAGATGAGCTTTTTCCTAATTAAAGTATATCTGCCTGTCTTAACGGCTGCTTGCGTGGTGGACTGCTGCATTGCAGATGGTACAGGTGCCGTATGTTTTGTAAACACTCTTCATTAGGTGACTTGTCTTCATTGGCTTCTCTTTTCCAACTTAGATATTTAGGAGTTGCCAAATCAAGTAAGATTTTGGAGAAGAAATAATTGTTAAAATGAAGGCTCAAAAAAATTGAGTAAAGGCACTAAAATAGCAGGGCAGTCTAAATAATTAAGTGGCATTAAAATGATTTACATTTGATAACAAAGCATAAATTGTTCTCTTTTTCTGTTTTAATCTATGAATTCCATCATAATTTTATTCCAACATACTTTCAGTCCTTGCCCTGCTCATGTGTGTTAGTTGTATGTTGCCTCATAGCAAATTATCCCCAAATTAAGGGCTTAAAACAAGCCCATTTCTTATCTCACAGTTTCTGTGGGTCAGGAATTCAGGCAGCTTAGCTGGACTCGCCCACTCACAAGGCTGCATCAAGGTGTGGCCTCACAAGATGGTGACTTGTTTCATCAGAGCAGCAAATGAGAAGGAGAGTGTGGGTTTAGCATGACGGAAATCATCGTCTTTTATAACCTCATCTCAGAAGCGATAACCATCATTTTTACCATATTTTATTGTTAGAAGTGAGTTGGTAGTTCCTATCAACACACTCAAGGGGGAGATCACATAAGGACAGGGATATTAGGAGGCAGGGATCACCGGGGGCCATCTCGGAAGGCTAACAGTCGACTACGCCAGCTCCTGAATATTGATGCTCTGAACCTGGTTTCTACTACCTCTCTGAAGGAAGCTCTCAGGGTCCCCTAAAATACAGCACTGAGTCTTTTGCTGTGTTGATATTTTAACTTTGTCATACTTGTTAAAACTTCAAGAATAACCTATAAAAGACTTGAAATATAATATAAAGCTGCAAAACTGGAAGAGATACTAAGTAGCAGTATGGAGATTTGAACTCAGGTCTACTGGACACTAGGACCTGTTCTCTTATTCTAGAGCTATGCATAGAAAGCCCAAAACCGACATCATAATTACATCAAGGATCTCTAGTAAATAGAGTAGCTAAATTTCGAGTTATAAATGGCCTCAGGCAACTTTGTGTGTGTGTATGTAATGTATATTTTAATTGATGTTCTTGTTTCAGGACTAGGCTGTGAGAGGAGAGTAATGGTCACCTGCAGTGTCTCAGGCACCGGGTTCGGCCCTGCTGTCTCGTATAATCCACACTACATCCTCTGAAATGAGTATTGTTTTATTTTACAGATGAGGAAACTAAATCTTTAAGAAGTTAGGAACTTGGCCAAGTTTACAAGTCTGCAGGTATTGGAGATACAATCCAAACAAGGTATGATTAACCCCCACACCCCCATGCTGCATCTGCACAAAGCTCATGCTCTTTCCTGTATATCATGCTGCCTCCCCACAAAGAAGAGGGACAATGAAGCAGTGCTTTCTAAACATGTACCATGCACCAGCTATTGTTCGAAGCTCTTTGTCTATGTTAACATATCTCTAAAAGTTCTCATGAGGCAAATATTATTCCCACTTTGAAGATCAGAAGACTGTATCAATTTAGGACTTGCTTATATATATCTCAAAGTTTAGAGTTAACTCAAAATTTTAATTAGCTAGCCCTATTCTGTATACATCCTTATATATATAGTGCATGTATTAAAACCTGTCAAAATTACCCCACCCTCTAAAGTACTTAAATGTCTTTTGAGTTATTAAGGAAATGCTTTTCCTTTAAATATTATTCAGATACTAATGGATAATGCATGAATACTATATGTAGTGACTCCTTGTTATGCAGAGTGTGAAAATGGAGCAAACTATTGTGGTTCCTAAAGCTGGCCTGCAGTAATTGCTGAATAGCCTGAATACCCCAAGCCTCATATTTGCAAAAAATGAGTCATCTTGAGGCGAAATTGAGTTGCACAAAAGCAAGGGACTTTTGCCTATCTTTTTAGAAGATTTTCTTCTACTCACAGTAGGAGGCACAAAAGAAGGCCAAGCAGTTATATGTCCTACCTCACTTTCCCTCAGCCATTGGATACAACCATCCCTCAGGACACACGTCTATTCTGTGAGCACCGATGTGTTACGTGCATCAGACAACCGTTCTTTTTTTTTTTTTTTTTTTAAATGGTAAGCAATTATGAATTGTCTTTTAAAGATTTTTTATTTTTTCCTTTTTCTCCCCAAAGCCCCCCCGGTACATAGTTGTGTATTCTTCGTTGTGGGTTCTTCTAGTTGTGGCATGTGGGACGCTGCCTCAGCGTGGTCTGATGAGCAGTGCCATGTCTGCACCCAGGATTCGAACTAACGAAACACTGGGCCGCCTGCAGCGGAGCGCGCAAACTTAACCACTCGGCCATGGGGCCAGCCCCACAGACAACCATTCTTATTTCACACAGTCAAGGCCTGATTTTCTCAGCCAGTCTGAATCTATAAAGTCAGCTGTTTTTCTCATGGTCAAGTTATAGTCTCTGTGACTCATTCTTTTTAAAATCATAAATAAATTTGATAATTTGTTTATAATGAATTTCTAATAAAAATATAGCAATTATACAATTTGATTATTAACATACTTAAATAGATTCATTACACAAATAAAAAATATTTCGTAAGGTACAAAGTTAACTATTATATATCACATGTGAAGATATTATCACAATATTTTCTTTTAGGGCTTTTTTTTGGTTTAGTTGTTTTTTAGCACTAGGAAGAAGTGACTATTTCCTTTACTTCAAATATTAAACTTTTTTCTGAGTGGCATTTGTCTTTGTTAGGGTTTCGTGCATTTTACTGAGGGGTGTGTTTTCTTTTTAAAATTAATTCACTATTATTTTCCACTTCCTGCTCCAGTTAACTGACTCATTTATAATTTTGTCAGATTTATTTATCTATCCAAGGCACCAAATTTATCCTCAAGTCTTTCTTTTAAACAGCAAAAGAGACCAAAAAAGAAAACATTAAAGGCCTCAAGTGCTCACACAAAGAAACTGCCAGTTCAGTCAACAAAATTTAAACTTCCAGTAAAAACAGAAAACTCTCTGAGGTGTAGACCCTAATGGCTAAGAAAACCCACAAGTTCAAGTTGACCTCGCCAAAAGCATTTATACTTTTAGCCAAACTTATTAAAAACAAAATTCATTTGAAAGGGAGAAAAAACATACTACTGGGTTTCATAACATCAAGATGACAGGCTACGAAAGGATTTTATTTTTCATAATATTGCCTACTGAACACAACTCTAAATCTGTTTTTCTTTCAAGTTCCTCTGCTTCCCCCTTTCCAGCTACTCCTAGAACAGGCAGTCCACCCTCGTGACTAGAAAACAAACATCACATTTGACAGAATTTCATTTTCAGGAAGCTTTTTTTTTCTTATTAGTATTGTAATGTAAAGACTTTCCCACTCAGTCCTAGGATAAAAGATAAACCAAATTAGATCAAATGTTTAAAAAGACAATGGCTGACCAATGCTCTTTCGCTTTATGAAAGTCTAAAATGGTTCAAAGGCAGGGCCCAAAAGAAGCCGGGCTGTGTGCTTCTCTCAGAAACCCAGCTTTTGTTGTTTTGTGTCGGGGGAGAAATGTTATTTTAAAGTTGTTTGCATTTAATAGGTTATGACCGGCAGCTGGAGGAAGCCAAGTCGCTGATAGCCAAAAGGAAAAGGACTTGGCAGGACTTGTGAAGTTCACAGTCAGCACTGATGGTCTTGAAATAGAATTTTCTACAACAAGCAAAGCTGGGACCTTCATCACTCCAATGGCACTGCACATCAGGTGGAGACGAAACCGATTTTAACTTTCTCTTTTCTGATCTAGACTTTCCAATCTGTAGCAAGTCTTAACATGACGTTGCCAAAAAAGGGGAAATGGGTGAAGGTTGGACCTTGGTGGCTCTGGACGGGCATTCAGAAGATAGATGGAGGAAGTGTTGAAATGTAATCTGAACAGTTGACTTGAGCTAGGTTATGAAGAGAGTTTATATTTCATCTTATCATATAGAAAATTGGATGACACGTTCAGCTGCATGTCTAACATGGAGAGCTGAGGTCTGCCTTCTTGGGAAACGCCATTAAAGAATTAGGATGTGAGAAGATGGGTGACCATCTCCTTATCTTCTACCGTGGGTGACATTTCAGATCTTCTGTCTTAGCAGCCCAAGAACAGGAGGAAGAATTAAGAAAATAATTCTGACCTATGGTGCAGAGAGGCCTAGAAAAGTGAGAGATTAACTTTGGATAGTAGTAAGAATATCTCTAGCATAAGGCCAGTTAAACAGAGGAATTGCTGAGGGATTCTGAAGAATTTCTTTGTTTATTTATTCTTAAAAATAGATAAAACGTATGATCAGCAAACCTTAATGGAGCATCTACTGTGTAAAGCTCTGGACTAGCTGCTGTTAAAGGTTTGTATTTAAGTTTGAATATTTCTGATGGCAGTGAATCTACTATTTGCAAGAGCTTGAAGATCATACATCTTCTTAAAATGTTAACACTGTGATATAATACTTGTGTCTTAGGTTCTATCTTGGTCAGTGAGAAAGGAGTTTTGGGAAGAGGTGTCACAATTCAAGTCTGCTATATTGAGCTTATAGAGATTTCTCTGACTATCTTTAAAAATAAATGTGGAAGATAAATTTAATGAGACCATGGTGGTTCCAAGAAACACTACATGATCTCAGCATAAAGCGGAGCAATTCTTTGAATAGGCGTAAAGTTACAGAGATGATTTTTAAATGGCTTAAACTAAAATTGAGTTTATAAACTATTACTATGTGGTAGAAAGATACATATATTCATATTTATTTAAAGGAAGCATGTTAGTCAACACCATTCAAAAATAAACCCTGCATTTCCCTCCTTCTTTTATTCACACTAAATTATCTTCACATTTTGTGGGTTGGTAGGTAGAAGAGGAAAGTTCTATGGCTTTTATGATGTGGCTGTTGGGTGTGAGTTGTGTCAATGGCAGGATTTGTAGGACTTTGATCACATATACTACCTGTCTCATTCTATTTAGAGATCCGGGAAGCAGTTGAGGGAAATACATCTGAGAGTGGACAGGAAAAATGGATAGACCTGTAGAGGTTCCAGACTCAGCACACCTTTAAATCTATTGACAATACCAGTATTTCACATTGTACACGAGATCTACTCTAAAATATTTGCAATTGATTTTTTATGAATGTTTCTATCTTTCTTGTATAAACAGAATCATATTCTTTGAGGGCAAAGATATTGTTTCTTTTATTCCTTGATATAATTCAAGCACCTAGAACAATTTCTGACACACTTTCAATATTTAATAAATATTTGTTGAGTAAGAGTATTAATAGACAAAAGGGGATTTAGAATGGAGCAAAGTCCCATAATAATTTGCTATAAATCAATTAATTGTTATTATTTAAAAAAATAAATCTAGGTGTTGTATCATCTGGTTTATTTAAAATAGGTTATAACTGGAATAAAGGATACTGTAAGTTTTGCCTTCCTTATTCTATGAAATCTCCTCAAAATTAAGGAATAAAAACAATTAATAAGATAACTTTTTTAAAGGTTGTGTGCCAGTTCTTAAGCTATTGTCTCTTATCTCTTAGACCCCATTTTACAATGCTGGGGCAGGGCCTCTGCAAACATTTCTGCTTCACCAGCAGGTTCTCTGTTAGGCTCCGCCCACAGGGGGGTGCTAGACGGAGAAGGGAGGCTGCTTTCTCTCTCTTCCTATTACTGTCAGTGCGCATCAGCTTCTTATGGGTTTCCTGTCTGCTCCCTGGTCTCGTGAGCATCACCCCAGTAGCACTTCTTCCTCTTGGCAGCAGTGGTGCCTCCCCATAGCAGTGTGTGGATCCAATTTGCAGTTTATACAATACTTGAAAAACCAGGCTTCTCAGAATTTAGAGACGCCAGCACCAGCCCAGCAGTGCCCTTATTCAGAAATTTGAATTTCAGCTCTGTAGGCCTCTCCTCCAATCTTTTAAATTGTAAGAATTCCAGCCTTTTGCCTTTATTCTTTCAGCCCTAGACGTGGTAGCTTCTTCCTGCAGTTGTCGCCTCTACAACACTTTAGTGTGCTCTTTTGATTCTTTCACTTATTTAGTTAACAATTTTATGACTAGTTAACACTTCTTTATATAAATTCTGTCTGTTCAAATAACTGGTGTCCTTTCTGTCTCCTAATGGGACCCTCAGGTATACAAGTTGGTTTTACTAAGTCACTCTCCTTGGCGTCTTTAGTTTACACATGCTACTTGATTAAATGCAAACAAAGAGTCAATTTAAAAAAAAAAAATGTCAAGAGACATGATGTAAGCAAAATTCTTAACTAAGTGAAATGTCCTGAGTACTTCTGTCTTCCCTGGCCCTTGCTTCTTGCTTTATCCCCTCTCTTTTTTCCTTTCCCCTCCTTCTCCTTTTATGTCTATCCCTCTGGGTGTTGTTTCCTTCAATCCTTCTTCTCATCTTGAGAATTCTGTCTTACCTTATTCTCACCAGCTCAATACCTTCATCATTTTCTCTTCTACTATTGAAAAGACAGTGAGCTCAGTTCTTTCTCCTAAGCTCATCAAATACAAGTTAGTCCCCTTACCCCATGGAAAACAGAGAGGCCAAAGGCCCTAAACATTGCAACAAGAGAAATGGGAAATTAAACATCTCCTTCTAACAGTGGAGAGGTATTATTTTCATCAAGGTTCTTTGAGATATATTTCAATGACACTCTGTCAGTGGCCATCTGGTTAGCATACACCTAAGGAGCTACCCACTTCCTATCGTCTCCTACCTTTGGTGGCAGATAGTAGAAGAAGACAACATTCCATCCCAGCAAAGAATGGGAAGGCGCTGTGGCTGGATGAGCCCCTAACTAAGAAATATGAATCTTACAGATGGATCCATATTTGCTCATCCACACTGCCAGAATCACACTCTGATCTTGGTTCTTTGGTTCCTGTAGAGCCTTCTTACTTAGTGAGTGTCTGGGTTCCCGTTCCTCACCACCACCTCGAAATGAGGATTTTTCTTCCATATCCCATTTCTTACAGATTTTCCTCTTAACTAGCTTTCACATAGAAATAATTTGCTTTTCTAATCTCAACAGTTTTTTATGTTAACTTTTCCAAGGATATTCGTGTTTTAAAAGAGTAGGCCCAGAAACCTCCTGTCTTAACACAAATGTTAAGAAATTGTAGGAGGTGAATTTTAGCTATAAATAGGGGCTGGTTTGATATAGTCTTCAGAGAAGGCATTTCTTCATCCTCATATTAAACAACCTAAGAGGGAAGCCAGTCTAGACCAGACTTCTACTTTTGGAATGCAGCTTTATGATCAGAAAGTTTAAACATCCTATAACTATATAAATAAAGATAGAATAACATGCTTTTGCATCTTGCTAGAGATACATTTCAAAAGAGAATAACAATATAAGAAAAATAGTCTGTTAGCCCTATTATGGTAGAGTGTAAATCAATGTAAGGTGAATTTATTTCTATTATGCTAATTGCCAAGAATTCATAGTCTCAGCCAAGAAACAGTTTGTTTTTCATTTACTTTCTGACAAAATTGAAAAATAAAAGTTTTGTTGTAGATCAGAAAGGGGCTAGAAATAAAATAGCAATGAGTATCGTAAGATGCTTTTTTGGAGGATGTTTGTCATGACCACTACTTAATAATATGTGCTATTTTTTAATTTTGAAAAAATAAGCCTATTTCTGAACTTTAAAAAAGGATTGCGATCTTGTTATTAAAGCCATCTTTACGTGCATTTCCTAATACAGTCGCGTAGACTCACACGGCCTCACCAGAGCGCTTTACTCCGAAGTCTTAGAATTATTTGAACCGTGCTCTTGCTTCATTGCTGAGAAACATTCTTTTTCGCCTGATACCTGTGGTATCAGGAAGACTAAAGGTATTAGGTGTCAGGTAAAGCACTGACACCTGAACGTCGTGAAAGGAAAAGACAGGGATTCACCTTGCCGCCAATTTCATACTTTCCTTGGCAGAACCCTTTGACTTGTAGAATACAAATGTAGAAAGATTAGCTATCTTAAAACTCTTTTGAGCTTTCATGGATGGTTCCCCCAGATTTTACTTAGCGTTTCCTAGGCACTCGTGTAAGCTCTAGTGGGAGAAAGATAGTCCTTTTTCTTTCAGGATGTCTCTTGAAATCTGTGTAACCTGTATAAAAGAAGACATAAAATGCAAGGTGTTGAAGTGTAAGCACTATGGATAATAAATGAAGGCCAATGACAGCATAAGAAGACACGTATTTTCTGTTGAGAAATCTCTGCTCTTCAGAGGAAGGGTTTGTGTTGTATGCATGCACACACATACATTTGAAATTCCAGAAAGGAAGCTGAACATCTGGTCACTTCATTCTAGTATTTCTTAATTTATAAGGATATGAAAATTTTAGCATCCCATATTAGAAAGTCATCAATCTGTGATAAGCTTCTCATTCTCTTTGACTGAAGAGTTTTCTTGTGAATATGGAATAAAACTATTATTATAGCAGTTGTATTTGTGACTCATTAGGAAAACACATCTCTGAGCTGAAAATGTAGTCCATCTATGACATTAAGCCTAGCATTCTGGTCACAAAACCCATTGCTGTTGCTTTAGCTTAATTCAAGATTCTGTGAAGTATATATGCTTTATATGGCCTAAAAAGAAGCTTTTCTAAAAACAACAAATATAAATTTTGAAGAGTTTTCAGAATCTTTGCCAGCTTCTGTGGTTTTAATATTCCAACACATCTTCCTTGAGTTAACTTTGACCTACTCTTTCTCTTGAATAGAGAGAAGTTAATATGCTAAGCTGCATTAGAAGTACAATATAAGTGAAGACTCTCCTCCACCAACTTACAATGTCTAAATGAGTTATTTTGCTGTGCAGATTTTACTCATGTTCAGGTGGTATGGTAGAGAAGGAAGAGTACTAGAAGGTCAGGAGACTCACTTGTAGATACTAGCCAAAACATTTCATATCTCTGGACCTGTTTTATCAACTATAATTGAAAGCGATGGAACTGATACATCTACTCCTTTCCAGTTCTAAATATTAAGATTCTATCTGGTGTTTATTATTTTACTTTTTTATTATAAAGATATTAAGTATTCAAAAATTTAGCAATATGGAAAGCTATAGAAGATACTAAAAGAGGTGCCATAGATTCCACCATTTACTTGCATTTTCTTTATTATTAGTGAAGATGACCATCTCATGTTTTTTGACCTTATACCTCATTTCTTAATTGCCTACTCATGTGTTTAGCTAATTATTTTTTTCTGTTGGGATTTTTATCTTTATTCATACTGATTTTGAGTCATTGTAGTTGATATTACTTTTTGATAAATCTATTACAAAGATTTCCCCCAAGACTTTTATCTTTCAACATTGTTTATAGTATTTTTTGTTTTTGTTTTTTAATTAATTTTTATTTTTAAGGTTTTTTGGTTTGGATGCAA